GTTATTTTATGATAATGGACTGATTATAGTGTCCTTCCTGTTTTAGTTATTATGTTATGATAATGGACTAATTATAGTGTCCTTCCTGTTTTAGTTATTTTATGATAATGAACTGATTATAGTGTCCTTCCTGTTTTAGTTATTTTGTTATGATAATTGACTGATTATAGTGTCCTTCCAATACTGATTAGTGTGTCCTTCCTACACTAATTAGAGTGTACTTCATGTATTGATTATAGTGTTCTTGTTGTACTGATGGCAGTTCCCTTGTACTGATTTTTAGATTCCTTCATGTAACAATGTACATGTATCTATCTATTTCTCTTGATTATAGAGTCCTTCCACTACTTAAAACAGTGGCCTTCCTACATTGATTATAGTTGCAGAAAAGTTTTCATAGTTTTTTCATACTTTTTTGTGCTTATGTTAGTAACCTGGACTCTCTTTCAATTGAAACATCTAGCTTTCAAAACTGAACAAATCCTTAGAAGCAAACAAAGCAAAGTTTGAAGTGAAAGAGTCTTTGTTTGACGAGTTAATTTAATTTTAAATTAGAAGTTGACAATTCAAAGATAAAAGACATTACCTTTCTTGAAGTCTGTGGTTGTTTTTAGTATCGTTTTAATGACCAAATTGACCATTTGACTGTTTTTGTATTCACATATCCAATATCTTGATAATAGATCAATAAGATTATCATAATGAAACGTCTGTGGTCAATAGAGCTTAGTTTGTTACAAAATAATTTATCTCTTGTGGAATGTTAAATAGTTCATAATCTGTCACTCACACCTGTCACCACTTATTTTCAATCTCAGGCATTGGTACTATTTCTAATTTCAATGTCATTCATTGGTACCATTTCAATGACAGGCATTGGTACTTTTACTAATTTCAATGACAGGTATTCGTACTTTTACTAATTTCAGTAATTTCAATGTCAGGTATTGGTACTTTTACTAATTTCAATGTTAGGTATTGGTACTTTTACTAATTTCAGTAATTTCAATGACAGGCATTGGTACTATTTCTAATTTCAGTGTCATTCATTGGTACCATTTCTAATTTCAATCTCAGTACTAATTACTAATTCAGTAATTTCAGTGTCAGGTATTGGTACTTTTACTAAATTCAATGTCAGGTTTTGGTACTTTTACTAATTTCAATGTCAGGCATTGGTACTATTTCTAATTTCAAACTCAGGCATTAGTACATTTACTAATTTCAAACTCAGGCATTGGTACTTTTACTAATTTCAATGACAGGCATTGGTAGTTGTACTGTCTTTCATTGTCAAGCATCGGGGACCATCACTTATTTTCAATACAGACATCTGTACTTTGACATATTTTTAATGTCAGACATTGGTTCATATTTTATTAAAACCAAATACGACTTATCTTCTCTACTAATTTCAGTAATTTCAATGACAGGCATTGGTACTTTTCAATGTCAGGTATTGGTACTTTTACTAATTTCAATGTCAGGTATTGGTACTTTTACTAATTTCAATGACAGGCATTGGTAGTTGTACTGTCTTTCATTGTCAAGCATCGGGGACCATCACTTATTTTCAATACAGACATCTGTACTTTTAACATATTTTTAATGTCAGACATTGGTTCATATTTTATTGAAACCAAATACGACTTATCTTCTCATGGTTTTGATATTGATGTTTTCAATTTAACATTGATGTTCGGATATAATTTTGTTTAAGATGAGTCTGTCTGTTATTGTTTTATCTTCAGATATATGTTAGTACAAGTTTACAACATTCTTCAATAACCTGTACAATGCGTGGCTGATAGTATAGCAACAAATATTTGTATAAACCAAGCAACAAATTATTGTTTTCCCATTGTTCTGTTTGTTATTTGAAGAAAATACTCTTAGAACATAGTTGTGAAGTTACCAGTCAAAGCATTCATTATAATAGTCTCTTGTATGAAAACAATCTTATTATCTAAAATCAAAATTAGCTATGTGGACTCTCAAAAAGAAAAATTTACATAGAACATAGTTTTGAAGTTACTAGTCGAAACATTCATTATAGCAGTGTCTTCTACACAAACCATTTAATTTTATGAGCTATTTGAACTCTCCAAAAGGGACACAAAATTGACAAACAATGTCAAAGAGTTGCATAAGGTGTCTAAAAGAGAGAGCATGCCCTCCCTCTCAATCAACATGCACTTACTATCTGTTATCAGTAAAACTTACATGAGACAAAGCAGCTTCTAGATGATATAATATATGCTCAGAAAAAGCTAGTAACATAATAGTTGTGATTTAAACATGTATTCTGAAGAAATTCAAAATCAAAATAAATCAATCCCTAGTTTATAGAAAAAGTCTGTAATTTGCATTGAATATTCCTGTTAGTTTCACACTGTTTTCTTGAATATAACAGCACAAAATGACATGAATTAAAGCTATCAAGGACAGACTGACGCAAGAGCTTTGAAACTTTGATATTATTTGCTTAGTTTATTTAAATGGTCTTATCTTGGTCATCTTTATTCAGTATTTTACCCGACTAGGATTGAAATATATATAGAGAATAAGATTACTTGAATAAAACATGTCAAAGATGTCATTATCAGTGACTTTTTTCTATAAATTATTCAGTGGTGGGGCCAAGTTAGTCCGAAATATCCGCCTCTGATAGATCATGAGCCCTGTTTTATAGGGATATTCCTCACTTTGGGCTAACAAAATATTGAATAACCTTTACTATGACTGTAAGTTAATGTTTGACATCGTTGTAACTGTGACCCTTGAACTTTTGGCTGCAGAACGAGAGATTAGTTTAAATAAAACTTTGATGGAACCTGGACATGAGGTAAATGGTGAAGGGGGATTATGATGGTTTGACTGTTTACAAAAATATTTCCCAATATATCTGGGTTTGGCGGATTTGTTCATAAGTTATCTTTATTCATTATTCCTATTATTGATCATTGATGTTATGGTTGTTCTTCCACTGAGAATTGTAAAGTAAAGCTAGCTTAAAGCCAGCTTTATTGCTGAACTTGTTGAGTTTACACAGAGTTTAACTGGCTCCCGAACGATTTTAGCCTCGATCACAAAGTTGCTCATTATTGACAACTCGTGATGTACAAGACTGCCCTTTAAACCAGTAGACCAGAAAATCAGTACGCCACCTATTGCTGAACAAGATAAAGCTGGCTTTTTGCGTTTTCATTGAATATTTGGCAAAAGCTGGCATTTCGCCTCCCGATAAATTGACCAACACAAAAAGAGAGGTCCATAACAGTTTGACAATTTGCCCAGTGGAAAAACACAAAAGCTAGCTTACAGCCGGCATTTTCCCTCAGTGGAAACACAGTTAATATGTCAAAACTTTCACGGTCAGTTGTTCTAACAACGACTATTGACCTTTGGTAAGGCATTTTTAACCATTATTCCACTTAAAGTAGATGTAAACTATAAATGTATTGGTGGATGTCCAGAAACCAAAACCTGAAATATAATGTGTCAAGACGCCTCTTCAGACATGTATGCTAAAATCATTTACTGGTTATACATGATACAAGTATGAAACTTTTATTTCTAAACTCAGTCATTGAGAAACATTTTTATTGTGCTTTCCATGACTTGGTGAACTTTGAATATATGTCGATTATTCCAGCTTAGCTGAATGTATGTATGGTCTAGGAAAAGGATTATTGGGCTGTTCTTGTTATTGCTTGGTCTTTTGATTTTAGACACGCTAGAAGGCAATATTCTTGTCATATATTGCCAAAACTTAATTTACCATCAAGAAAAACTCAATCAAAAAAAAAATACAAATTATTTTACATGAGTTATTGCCCTTGTACACATTAGATTTTTTATTTATGAACACTCTATAATCAGTACAATTCTTGATGGATTTTGAGGCAATAAACCCTGTCTAAATCACCCAGTATTTTTTCAAAACTTACTCTATGTAACATGGTTCTTTTTTACCTAACAAACCTCAAGAAGAAAAATCATTGATATTGAAAATATTTTCAAAGCTTCTATCTAGCTTCATTTAAAAAAATAATATTTGAATTATGGACATATTTTATAAACCGTGAATATTAATCAAACGGACTTTTAAATTTATACATTTTTGATGTAGGCCCTACTTGATGCCCTATGTACATATGAAATGATATTTATCCTGGAGAAAACTTGAAATTGTGACATGATAACCTAGCTTTCATTATAAAATAGTGACTCCTTACTTCTACATATGTGACCTTTTTTATTGGCCTCTAGCCATGATGTAACATGTCCACTTTTTACCTTTAAGACAATTATCAATGGACCAAAATTCTCCAAGACTTGTCTATCCAGCCTTTCAATATAAAATTCCTATACACTGGATATTTTGTGATAATGGTTATAGGAGTCTGGGTACAAGAGTATGAAATTTGAGCATTATGTGTGAAGTAATAACTGTATGGTTGAATTTTGATGTGTTAGACATATAAATGATAGTGACATTTGTTATGTTAGGTTTTACAGATTGTAATGAATTGTGTCTGATAAGACCATTTCCTCTGGAGATTTGAAATTAACTGATTTGTCTGCCGACAACAATCCTCATATGTTAAACACACATTTAATTAATTTAGTAGAATTTCACAAGTACATCTATTATCTATTTCAACTGGAGTTTTATTTTCACATCTGAACGATTGTTTTGCAATATACATACCGATATGCCCATGATTAAATATAATAGGTAAACAGTACCAGTGTTCACAGCTCACCGTCAAAATCTGATTCTTCAAATCCATGTGTGTCAAATCATCTGCATTTGAAAGTTAAAATAATGACTACTCTTTTTCTGATAATCCGCAAACCCCCAAAATTGGCAACCAGGGCCTAGGAAATCAATAAAAATTTGTGTCACTTTTAAAACGTAATTTGATTATGGAAAACTATTTTCCCTTTGATTTCTTAATGGGTTGAAACTTAGTAATAATTTATGGCCAATTCCATTTCAGGGCAAAGACTTAAATGAATTAAGAAGACATACACATGGTAATACAGTTGACAGATTTACGCTACGTAAACTCTTACAGAAGGTCTTTAAGAAATGTAGATGTCGTGAGGTACATGAAAAATTCTCACAAGATGAGGTAAATCACTTTAATCTAATATTTTACATGCAATTATTCACTCCGAAGAACTCTATCATGCATGTGCTAAGAACATTTAAAATGTCAATGGTAGCTATGATTGATATACAGATGTCTTAAAGGGATAGTAGAGAGGTTTTCCCAAAATTTTAAGTCTATCGGGGACAGTGATAGCATCCATTTGCACAATTCCAATTTTCAATCACACGTCTGTGGTTTCTGTAATTCCCTTAAAACCAAATGTTTGATGAAGATACAGATTGAAAATATGCTTTATCACATATGGCCCTTTTTGATTAGTGAAAAATTTAGAAAACCTCTTTACAATCCCTTTAATATGATATTTGCATGTATACATATTTAAGAGAAGTGCAACTTGTGCAATTTGGTTTTGTTTTAACAGAGTGCTAGAATTCTTAAAATTCTTTGCCCTATTGTGATATGTGAGCATCTGCTGGAAACCTGAAGCATCCCACTTTGCATACTTGTGCATCAACAACCGTGAACAATGAAATATTTCTTGAATATCTTCATGCATCCTTAACAGTTGTGTATAACAGATCGGAGAAAAGATTGTTATCTTTTGAAGTATCACATTAAGGCTTATCTCTGATCATTTTGCAAAATCACGTTTTTTAATCTTTTTGGATGACTGGCAAAGTGTTAAGAACTTAGAAGGGAACTATGTAGAGAAAGAAAATAAAAACAAACAGTTTTGTGCAGTATTTTCACAGTTAGGCTTGGAACTTTTATTCAGCCAGCTCCTGTATGCAACACATTTGATTTAATAAGCAGTTTTAAGTAAAATCTGTCAGACATGCCCACATGAGTGTGCAATGACCCAGAGTGATAAGATTGTGCAACAAGTCTGTGTATCACCGACACATGAGTGGGAATTGAAACTGCGACAGCTATGTTAAGTGGTCTTTTTTCATAAAACTGTTTTCACCAAATATTCATCTTCCCTTTAGTTATTTGATAATATGACACAACCCATAGAGTTGAAACAAATAAACTCTACCAACATTTCGAAACATGTTGGTTTATATCATAATATTACACAATTCTGCATGTATGTTACTAGAACAATTGCGAATTAAACTTTTCTTATAGTTTTCCAATCCTTTAGTTGTGATTAAAATAGACAAAAACTAAAAAGCAATTTTACAGATAAAGTGAAAAGTTTGAAAAAAATCTGATAAAGTCGTAGAAAATGAAATCAGATTCACTGAGCTTTGTATTAATATTCAATGGTTTTATTTTTTTATCTTAGCTTATGAGGTTTGAATTCCTTACATGATTCATTTGATGAGTTACAAACAAGAGAAAATCAGTGCGTTGATGCATTAAGAATGACATAAAACTAACAGCATTCAGAAAACAATCACTTCCTTGTCGTTCTGCAGAATATTTTTCTTTGTGCCATGTTACTTACTTATATGCAGTATGCACCATGCGTTAGTAGTTAACAGTGACACGATATCAATGTTAATAATCCTGAATGACAAAAAGCGCTTCACCTACAAGTTTGGAACTTGGTAACTCTTTTAAGAGAAAGTTAAAAACACACCTTTTTGGATGATCCGTTACCTATTAAAAACTGGGTGTTTTTACCCCCTGCTGCCAAAAATCTTGTATGAATACACATATGTACAAAACTGTAGAGAACTGTGCTTGGCTCAGTGGCAGTGTTTAATATCTCACTTAATTACATTAGTTTTTTATTGGCAAAACAGTTCATTAATTCTTTGAAAATAACATTTAAAACAGTAATGGTTTAAGCTTATGTCTTTCATGACAAAGCTTACTTTTTTAATGTTTTGTGTATCTAATTTCCATTAAGGAAGATTTTCCAGTACAATTTGTATGTTTGATGTAAGAGATAAATAATGTTTTATTATTTTTACTATGTATAAAATACATGATAATTTTAAAAATTAAATCAGTTTTAAATTGATAGTGTCTTTTTGTGGTTTCCACATGAACTGTCTTGTTGAACTTTTTATCATGAGTAATAATTAAAAGATTAGAATGAGTTTTAATTAAAGGCTAGTTTTCATCATGGTTCAAAGTTTTCAATCTTCACTTCATCTAATTAAATTAAAGTTGGCTTGTCAGGAACTTTAACACTTCAGATTTTATCTTTAAAATAATCAATTCTCTAGCTAAAGTAAAAAGATGATCACTAAAAGCAGGAATCATATGATATTGTTGCAAAACGAATTTGTCAATAATTGGATCATAAAAACCATGTTTGTATTGATCATGCTATGATACATATAGAGGTTTCCTGTGTTAGCACCAACAACCCTAAACTGTTTAAAGGGAAATCTCTTTTTGAATAAGGATTGCATATGCACAAGTTGTTTTCTGTTTGCACCATGCAATTAAGTATTAATACTAGGCAAGTCTTTAAGTGATATATTAGCCCTTGTATGCAAGATATGGTGTATTTACAACATTTTTCAATTCAATAAAAAAAAAAAGATTCTTCATTGCATATATATATAATACAAGGTTTATATTCTACACGCTGGTATTTGTTGTGATTTGATTTCAATAAGTTACGTTACTTCCCTTGTATAATAATAAGCATGTGTATTGATTGCTTTTATCGTACATTAAGTGACTATATTAAAGGAATTCTACCTGTTAGAATACACCCATTCTACAGCTACAATTTGTGTTCAATTGTGGTCATTGATTAAGTTCATTTGCATCCCAAATTATGCCTTTCATAAGGTGAAAAAAGCATCTGGGTAATCGATAATAAATCCTGAATAGGTTTATATTGATGTAAATTTGCGAGGTCGAAGGTCAAGGAGATGGGGAAACTCTGATTTTGTGGAATATCTTGTTTAGAGTAAGGGAGATAACTGTTTCAATTTCTAAATGTAATTAAAGAACTCCCGTTAGTAGGTAACTGAATTGATGATTAATTTAACACTTATAACGGGTAATTAAGGGATTATCAGATTATCTGGTTGGTAATCAAGTTATGTAATACCAAGCAGTGATTAATGGCTTTATACTTCATTAGACTAGAGTTGTCATTAAATTTTGCATTTGACCGACATTGAATGCCATGTAATGGCTAACCTATTACCTATTAACAGATATTAACAGAATGTCATTAATATTAATCAGTATGCTTGAGGTATCTTCTCCTTTTCATTTCTCATGTTCATTCACCAAGTTCACTTAATCACATACCTTAAAGAGGTCTTATAAATTTTTTATATTTTTATTTTATTAGCACATTAAACTCAATTCCATTTATACTTAAAATGATTTTTACGGAATTTTCTTCCTGTATGTCTGAAATCATTAATCCCTCTCATGGCTCACCATATTTGTAGATCAATTGTACTCGGATCTGAGAAACAGGGTTTGTTCAGTAAAGCTCATCAATAATAAGTTTCACAGCTTACTGTTGAAATATGAAATATATTCATAATTACTCATGTTTGAAAATTACGGATGACTAGACTCTACCATAATGTACAACAGTTAAAGACACCCCTTATTTATAGATCTCAAGACGAATACCAGATGAACTAGTGAAAGAATAGATAAAAAGTGAAATTGCTAATTTCAGGTATTTTTGAAGGAATTATGCGTTTTTGTACAGTTCCAGTAGTTCTGAGGATTATTTACATATATTCAAGGCCCAAATGAACCTTCAAAAACGGTGAACTATGGCCATTAAAGCTAATTCAGATTTAAAAATTGACCACTGGAAAATGGTTTCTGGTTGTTAATTTGTCAGATAATTGAAGTGGTCAAGATAATTATTGGAAGTTATGAATCTTGTTGCTGAATGTAACTGTTTCTGATAAACATGTACAATTGATGGCCTATGTCTGTTATTTTGAAAATATGTATATTATACTGGTTTTATTCCTCATGAAGCAGATTAGTGGCATAAGTTTCCCTATAGAATTTACATTTATAAATCATTCAAGAGCAGAAATGGTTTTTAAAACAGGAAATTTAAATTTCCAATGTCTTATAATTATCTTTACTTCACAATTTTTGTTGTTGTGTTCATAGCCACAACGATTAACAATGTCAACCTGACATGTGCCAATTAAACCTTCTACTGTCATGCCATCATGGCCTCTAGCAACTCAGAAAAATTAGAAATTTAAGTTATTAGAATTTTCTGTGGAAATATGTCATTTTAATGGTTGTTTATAGTGACTGTTACCTTGGACTAAGTAGCAGTTTAAACAAAGTTCCAGAAAAATGGGTATACATGAACACAACCAACAAAAGTAAATGTTACCTTGGCCCAACAAGACACCTTGGCCTCTTGCGATTTTTAAATGGTTGTCGTCAGTGACTAATACTAATGAAAAAATGTGTTTGAACTAACACTATTGAGTGTTACTTTGGCCTAACATGTCACCTTGGCTTCTTGTGGTTATCATTTGTTTTTGAAATGGCTGCCTTCAGTGACTGTTACCTTACTAAAAAATGTATTTGCACTAACGCAGTTAAATGTTACCTTGGCCCAACATGTCACCTTGGCCTCATCTTGGCCTACAAAAAAAATTTCAATAATAATCTTCACAGTGTGATATTGTCTTCTTTCTAATTTCACCATGATTATAATATTGATGTAATCCTCACTTGTTTTGCTATTAATAAATAAAAAATTCAATACATTGTCAGATCTATTTAACGTCAAGAATGATCAGGCTGGATAACAATAAACTGAACAAATATGGTAGTACTGACATTTAATTTAGAAAAAAAAAGTTTAAAGCTCCATAATATTTGATTTAATTGACTATTGTGATTGTCAGTTGATGTCCTCTAGGATATTGACCTAGTTTTCTCTGTTTGGCACTCAATATTAAAGATGTCAAATAAATATCAAGGCCGGAGTGTCCTATGGTAGACACAAGATTAATCTGTACAATTAAAAAATTTCATGAATGACAAAACTGCACTGGATATTCAATAGACTCTAATACATAGATAGTATGATTGGT